TTTTTTTTTTTTTAAGTCAAACAGATTTGGCATTAAGCCCTCCTTTGGCACTTTCTAGCTCCATGACCAAGGGTGAGGGGTTCAACCTGCAAACGTTGCTTGTCTCCTCGCAAACGGGGAGATCGCTCCATTGGCCGAGAAATCGCCAGGGCTAAAGATAACACAGGGTGTCCCAAAATGCAGCTTTTTGCTGTAATGACCCCCAAAATTACTACACCAACTCAGAAGTTTACACCTTAACAACGAACATCTTTTGAAAACGATCCTCCTGCCCGTTACCTTTATGCTTCACTGGCTTTGAGGGTTTTGACGAATACATTTAATTTTTCATGTTTGTTTTTTTTTTCAGACAACATGTACCATGTTCAATCAAAGGGACCGAAACAAAAGCAAAAGTAAAACTAAAAATGTGTTCTTCAAAAGGTGAAACACCATTCGAGTTAGAAAGAAAGGTACTTAGTGCAGCATTCAGAGGATGGTCTCGGTGGTGGTCTTGATTCGCCTCACGTTCTTGAAGCTGAAAACCCACACTAGGACTTTGGGACGCCCCCCAACTCACAGAGGTCCTTCAGTTGACCTCTTGTTCCTTCACAGCTCATCTTGTTTCTATCCTCTGTCCATGCAACCTATGGACACGGACCCTCTGGGACACCTGGAACCCCCCACTAGCAAGCAGTCAGTGTCACAGGGCTTGGGGTGTGCCTTATGTACAAGAAAATAGCGCGCATTAGTGCCATGACTCAGCCCGGGGCTGCCCATTCCCCCTCAACAAAGCCACAGTCACTTCAGCCTGCTCCTCCTGTAGCACTGGGTGAACAGGGAACTTTAAGCCTCTTCTCCCCTGTAGATAATGGTTGTGGACCACACTCGACTCCCAGAATCCTCCACCAATACTCTTAATCTCAGCTAGGAAGCCCTCCACCCATGCCTCCAATACTGTCCAAAGATCCCTTTCACCTTGAGGTCATTGGCTTTTGGACCACTTGCCCATAAGGAAGTTTTAGGTATTGGCTTTTGCAGATTCTATTCCAGCCAGTGGCCTTGGTCTTCCTGTCGTCCTCTCTCTCTCTAATCCACTTGCTCTCTGCTATTTATAACCCATCCGCACAAAAACTTGGTGGTCTAGGCAGGAAAGGGGCACTTTGTCCCCATTCGATTGGGAAGACCATTTCCTGTATGTAGAACAGAGCATGCTCACAGAACAGCAATGGGTATCAGGGGAAGCTTGTTCCTGACCCCCAAGACCCTCTGGTGATGCAGTGGGCTCAGATGTTGGATATACAGGCAGTGGGTTGGGCTCCAGCTGAGGACCCCAGGACAAGGGCCCCGCATCTTTTATAGCAAGCAGTACTCAATGCATGTGCTCATGCTGGTTGTTTTGGGGGTGGGTCCATCTGCCTCTGCAAGACACCATATGCAATTACTTCTAAAACCTATAGAAATGCACTCTGCCAGTACCTTCCAGTGCATGGATCCCCATAAGCTGAATGCATGTCCCCGTCCTGACAGTGATTGTCTGTGTGGTTTGCTCAGGACACCCAATATCGACCGGCTTGCAGAGGAAGGCATGAGGCTCACCCAGCACTTGGCGGCCGCCCCCCTGTGCACCCCGAGCAGATCTTCCTTCCTCACGGGGAGGCACTCCTTCAGATCAGGTCGGTGTTGTTGGGACAATCGAGAAAGGGGTATGTCTACCTACCGCCACTCATCTCTCATCTTCAATATTATTAGCAATGCTTGAGATCCAGGGGAAACGGTGCAAATATAATCTGCAGAGGCATCACCTTGTAATTACATGAAGAATACTGTGTTTTATATAGTCATGCAATGACTGGGAATTCAAAGGCTGAAACTCTCCAAGGGTAGTTGACTATGTTTGACATTGTGTTTAGTTGTCTAAATATTTTAGTCAATCTTGACGTGCAGTCATGATTTCAGACAGGCTCTGGGTGAGTGTATAGGGGGCTGAATGAGGGTCTTCAAAGATCCCACATTGTAATTCCCAGAAGTGGCGAATGTTCCTTTATATGGCAAAGGGGACTTTGGAGATAGGATTAAATCAAGGATCTTGAGATGGGAAAGTTATCTTAGATTATCCAGGTGTCCAGTGTCATGACAAAGGTCCTTATAAGGGGGAAGCAAGAGGGTCAGGGTCAGAAAAGGACAAGGAAGAGGTTGGTGTGATGAACTTCAAGGATGTAGGAAGGGGCCGTGATTTGATTCTCAGTGTCTGCTTAAGCTAAATGCATGCGTACCCTGTGACCCAGCAGTTCCTGAGTATGTGCCCAATATGGACACACAGGCATGTTCCACAAAAGATGGAATGAGAACGTTCACAGCAGCACTGTTTGTAAGATGCAAACACGGAGACAGTTCACCAGCAGAAGAGTGGGTTAATAACCTGGTATATTCACGTATTGGAATATTGTTGTATTGGGCTGTTTGAGATGCCACATGGAACGCCACAGGTGTGGCAGCCTCAACAACAGAGATGAATTTTCTCACCAGTCCTGGAGGCTGGGAGTCCAAGAAGCAGGTGGGGCTGAGGCTGGTTCCTCCTGAGGCCTCTCTTCTCAGCGTGCAGACACCATGTTCTCCCTGTGTCCTCATGTGGTCATCCCTCTGTGCGTGTCTGTGTTCTCATCTTCTTTTCTTAAAAGGACACCAGTCCTATGGGATCAGGGCCTACTCTACTGACTTCATTTTACCTCTTTAAGACCTTATCTTCAAACATAGTCACATTCTGTGCGGTTAGGGGTCGGCTAGAGGCTAGTAGCACCCACTTTCCCCACCAAATTGTGACAACCAAAAATACCTTCAGGCATTGCCAAGTATTCTCTGGGGGGCAGAATTGTCTTTGGTTGGGAAACACTGACATAGATCATGGAAAGATGATAGATAGATAGATAGATAGATAGATAGATAGATAGATAGA